TATTATTTTAGTGGGGTGTCTATATTTGGGCACCGCCGTATTTATTACCTTGGTCAAACACCACTCCTGCCATGGACCAATGGCATGTACGCTAAGCGACGCACTTCTTGGCCCAAGTCAGTCACGTGCACAATGCGAGCCACAAACACGTTTTCACAAACGGGCAGAGACGAGCATTTGGGAAGACCTCGCGCAGGATGGATATATTGTATGAGTAGACCCTTGAATGTCACAGGTGTGAACCCCACAGTAGTTCCAGATTGTGCCAGACGGAAACAAAGGCGAGATATGCGTCGCTATCCATGCGAGTGGGCATGTTGACTTCTTGACCTTTTTTATTACACGCTTTTTATTAACTCACTGTCTGTTGTTGTTGTCGTTGTTGTATCCTCAAATCTTGTAACTAAATTTTAACCCACTTCCCAATGTGGTATTGACTGCAAATTTGGTATACTTATGTCATACTGATGACAACACTACATTCTATGATAAAAATATATTTTTAAACATTCTTTTTTATATGTTAGGTTTCGGCTTGGGGCCAATTGTCCACGCTCGACTAACGTTGGCTGTAAATCACCACGGGTCCCTTACGTTGTGGCAAGCTTCGGGAGCCACTTCCTGGAGTCGTGGAGTTCTGCCATCACTAGTACGGCACATTTCATAAAAGCGTGTTTTTTTTATAAAGTTTTTTTTTTTAATTTTACTCATTTCATGGGTATGAAGAGTTGTCTCTGTTTGTCTTTCCGATAGGCCTCGCTGTGGCTTCGTGATTGGCCGAAATAATATTCAAATGCATTTAACCAGTGTGAAGGCAGCAGCAGTGGCCGATCGCAGAAGCGGTGACATGGCGCCGACAAAAACAAACTCTCAGCAGGTGCCAGAACAGGATGCAGGGGGATTGCTGTCGGCTGCAGGGTGTCCCGTTATGGGGCAGATTGCGTTATTTCATTGTTGCGTGTAGCAGTTTTTGTGCACGAGCTTGCGGACCAGGCTGAAGCGCAGTGACGGTGCCACCACGTAGCTCAGCGAGAGGGTGGCGGAAGTTCGCGGTGCATCAGCCGAGGTGCCCCACCGGGTCGTTCCTGCAAGTTTGTGCGGCAGGCCGAGCCGATTCTTGATTAGATCTTTTCACCGATCTGTTTTGTGTGGGGCTTGAAGGTCGGGCTTCTGTCCATGAAGGACCCCTAGATATCTTGGAATGGGGGTCATAGTGCACTGGGCTACCACAGCAGGACACATCAAGGGTGGCATCTGCTGCACGATTGTTCAAGTGGGTAGCACTTGTGGTTTTGGAGGGATGTGGTCGGAGTCTCCGCAAATGGAAATATGTCTCCAATAAAGTTAGATAATCTCTTTGACTATTTAGAATATTCATGAGGTTTGTAACCTATGCAGCATCTGCATATATGAACTTGCGAGACGATGCACATGGCACGCCACTTGTATATGATTATTAAATAGTGACGGTACTGGTTACCGAGCCTTGAGGGAGTAGGCCATTCTTGATAGTTCTCTTGCAGCTGTGTTCACCAGTGAGCTGTTCACCCTGCAAGTACAGTTGCTGAGCATCGCGTCAATTAGGCGTTCAGTAGAACTGCATCCGTCGATGCCAAACAGTGTCATAGGCAGCAGCGGAGAGGTCAGCCATTGCTCGGTTTGTGTTGACGTTTGAAACCAGCTTTCTGTGTTGGGTGGTGAAGGCAGAGAGAGATCTGTTTGTAGCAGCCGGTTCAACACCCGGCTCGCTCGAGAGGGGAGGCAGTTCTGGGTCGATCCTTGGTGGGGGTGGAAGCCTGGCAAGCATGGGGCTCGTTCCATCACGTGGGTTATAAGACCAGTCAATGAGAGCCCTTAAACGGTCAACTTAAATCCCTGCACACAACAGTGTCCTGTTGTTGTGTGCAGCAGTGTCTCTTTTTCGCCGGTTTTGCCAATCACACTTTTCGAACTGTGGAGGCTTTGATGCTTTTGCGATCCATTTGTGTGTTTTTTTTACATTGGGAAATGTATTTACACTGGCAGCATTGGGTGCTTCCGCAATGTTGTTATTTTCCCATCCATAGGTTTATTGGGTGTGAATGCAGTCATGTGTTTTATACATGCACCTGTTCGGGTTTTTTTTGTATGTGAATGAATGCATTCATTCTGTTGCCTTCAACCGGAAGAGAATCATCAAAAGAAGAAAAAAACCTCGATTTTTGAGCCGGCGTACACCGGCTTGGGCTGTCCTTTTCCTACCCCCCCTCCCCCCCCCGTCTATCTCATTTTCTCTAAAGTAAATAAGGTGTGCATTACTGTTACGTTTTGTCTCTGTACATTGCGTACATTGCCCAACACACTCAATGGAACATTGAACTCGCCGTCGATTCGTGGATGCACGTAATAATACACGTATAAAGTTTATAACTATATTCGTAGAGCGATATCAGTTTGTCACTGACTTTGGCCTTGTTTGGGAAGCAAATTGATGTCTCTGGGTTGACAGTGCAGTATGCCAGCCAATGCGTCACTGCCTCTCTCCCCTACAATAATATATACGTTTTAAAATTTGCATTTATGCTCTGGGTAATACGATTTTACATTTATCACATTTATCTGGTGCGTGTGCGATGCCAATTTGAGCTGTCATGTTTAGTGTTGCCATCTTACTGTAGCTACCGGCCATTCTCAATCTACTGATGCAATTCAAGTTATCCACAACAGCACACAAGAACATAATTGCTCTAAATTGTCTTCCACGCTCACCAAGCAATGGGCAGAGCTCATCACCATAGGGCGGCCCTGAGCCTCTTGCAAATTTCACATGATGTAAAAACTGCAATTTGAAGATGGATATCGCGTCTACATTGGACAGCATCTCAAACCGCAGTATGCAAGCAGCGGGCATAGTCGTTTTTTTAATTATTTTGATGGGCACTAGTCTCGCCTTTAAACAACTCTTGCTGTCCTTCCACATTTAATGAGTGCTCGCTTTTCTTAGTTGTTTCGGTAAGGTCACGTAGAAGGGAAATAATTGTTTTATTTGTATTATTTTATTATTTCCCTTCTACTGTGACTTTACCAAAAGAACCAAGAATATTAATCTCCTGCAGTCACAAAAGCTTTAAATCGAAATTTAGTACTCACTTTGTCGACCCTGGAGGAATGATGGGGTTTGGACTTGAACTCTTAACTTCCGTAGTAAGGTGGTGATATTGTGAGCAATAGTGCCGCAATTAACTTTTCATCATTGTTTGGCAGTCATGATTTTCTTTTGTGAATGTAAATAATCAAGGTTTTTTTCTTTCTTGCAAACGATATCCGTGCAATTTTACCATATATTGTAAAAAAATGTGCTTGAATTAAATGTTGCGATATTTGACGGTAAAAGGTTGTCAAGCCTGGTGTTAAGTAACTAAAAACAGGACATAATTTCGACGGGCAAAGCTAAAAATCCCCGGTCTCACATTGCTTCAGTCCCCAGACATCCAACAGCTGCGCCAAACGTCGTATATGTGCTTACTTAGAAAGCTTTGAAAGGAGGAAAAAAAAGACCCCCAAAAAAACCGTTGAATTGTCTTCCAACCACATGTGCACTTCACACGATACATTTCATTTCCATCAATGGAGTACGGTACAGGAAAGAATGCTCATGCTATTTTAACGTCTAGACCTGCTCCCATAAGGACCAGTTCTCAAAATAGCCAGTCCTGTCCCCGTGACTATACGGTGTATCTGGGCACCACCATTAATCCACGATGAGTTGGGTGATTGCAGATTGTAATGGGGCGCCACGGTGGCTATGAGATGTTAACTACCTTATCTGGTATACAGGAGGTCGTGGGTTCGATCCCAACACTGACGCCTCTCTATTTGGAGTTCGCTTGCTCTTCCCGTGGTCGCGTGGCTATTCCGCCGGGCCCTCCGGGTTTTCCCTCCAAATTTAGAATCAACATTACGCGTTTAGAGTATAATGGCTGCTATAAATTTACACGTGATAAGCCGCTTTGTTGAGCTATCATTTGTGGCCAGGTCGCTTCTGAAAAGAGAGCTACATAACTCAGTGGGCCTTACCTGGTAAAATAAAAGTACAGTAAATTACAAACCCGAGTGATGACTGATTGTGAGCGAGTCTGTTCCCCCAATGTCAGGTTACGTGGAAATGTTCATTAGACGATTTAATTATGATTGACTTAATCCCCATTGGCTGCGACTGCACAGTTCTTGTGTGAAAAATCATCTTCCCTTCATATTACCCTCTTGCTTCCCAAGCAAAGCTTTTATTGGCCAGTTAAATAATGCTACACTTTTACTTTGTAATTGTTATTATTATCATTATGGTACTCTAATGTTGTCCAAGACTACGATCTCCCGATGACTCGCAAAATCCACCAAAATTTGGCACCAAAATGACTTGTGACGCATCCTTTAATGGCTGCTGCAACTAAACTGATCTAAAATTGAAAATAAATGTAAGGTAAAAAAATGGAAGAATTTTTTTTTTTACATCCGCGTTCAAGGATTCACTCAGAAAACGCAACTTGAGCCGTGACTAAATTGACGATAAGCAACATCGGTTTGTGGCCGGAGCCAAATTGGGCCTGTTGTGTGTGTTTAGCTTTTCACGTTCTAACCCAAGTATTTGAGACGGCATACTGGCACGGCACTTTTCTAGCCTTATGTCCCATAGGGGATGAAGAAGAGAAAGTAAGTTCCCCGCACAGCACTAACAGCACAGCACTGCCCGGGGCCCCCTGTTTGTAACTGTTACAAGTGGACTTTAACGATGCTGTCTGTCACAAGTGGTTGACTCTTCTAGGGTTGCCGTAACAAGTCACAGCTCGGCTGTTCAATTGCTTTTGTCACTGGTTTAATTGAGGTGCAATATTTACATTGTTTGATTTGATTACTGTTCGGTGCCTCGTTAACTTCTGCTGTAAATGTCAAAGCCAATTTCCATGCATCATTAATGGTCCACTAATGGTGCGTGTTGCCTTGTCTTGTCTCTTTCGTTGTAGGGCTCTCTTCAGTTATGAAGGGAATACAAATGACCTCAAGCTGGTTATGTGCGGAGGTAAGGATTTGTCACTCAAGAGAACGATCTTTTCGCACGACATACGAGGCGGGGCCGGTAGAGAAATAGAATGTTCTGGCCCTACTTCACATTTTGCCTTGTCGGGTTTTTTTAAAATTTGTTTTTATTTGTAACCAGGTAAAGCCCACTGGGTTTCCACAGCGTCCGTGACTGGAAGCGCACTGAGTGATGTGTGGGGGCTGCCACGTGCATCGGACGTGAAACAGTTTGGGAGACATTGAGTCGCCCTGACTAGAATGAGCGTTCAGATTTGACGCAAACGTTTCAGCGCAACATCCGCACTACGGTGCGACTCCCATCGGCCATTTAGGTCCGCACAGCATTGCAGCTATGTACATCCTGGGCAAACTGAGCTACGTTTTATTATTAATATTAGAAAAAGTGCATTGCTCATTCGAGGTGTGGGTGTGGTGCTGTGGATCAGGAGGCTGACACCCCCTGTCAGAGTAAGCTCGGTGAGTGGCTGTTGCGTGGGGATTATTCCCTTGTCAGGGCATTGAGCCAGCGCCGTTGAAATTCGGAGTTTTCATTCTAAGATCACCACGCATGACTGAAGAAAAGTTATGCAAGTGTAGTGAGTTGATGATCTCAGCCCGGGCATCAATGACTGTAGAAACGATTGTCTACATTTATATGTTGATTTTAAAATGTTTTGTTATTTAAGTTGACATTGAGGACACAAGGAACCACTTTCACGGTTTGTACGACTGAAATTGTGCTACTCTAGGACATTTGGTGTCAAGTTTTGCGACGGTATTTTCTCAAGCTTTGCAGTCGCACCGTGTGTGCCTTACAAATGTTTTGCAGTGCGTGAATGTTTGCCGCTCGAGAGAGAGAAGCCAAGGTGCAGTGTGCATTTGCTTAGCTCAGTTGAACCGTTCCATATGAATGTGCTGCTCCGGGACATGCCCATTACAACGAAAATAGTCCACTGCTATCGTAAAATGCAAAGTGCCGTTTTATTTGTTTTTCGTTTTACATTGATATGTAAACGATCTAAATGTATATTATGCGGCCTGTTGCCAAATTACAATTGGACGTATTGGCGGTACACCGGTGGTGCGCAGTATAAAAAAAGTACAATTTTGCAATAACCATTTATTTTCCCCTGATTCGCAACCCCGGTAAGAAAATGTTGCGGGGTGGTGCGTCAAAATCAGTTCTTGTGATGTTGAAGCAGTCGACAGATGAATGTTACGTGCAGCTGAGCACCAAGCCTCACAGTCTGTTGCCATCTAGCACCCAGCCTGATGGCGATTGGCTCCGTGTTGCACGGGCAGATTTGGCTCTTGCCCTAGACTTGGTCGGACGGTTCCTCGATGGGTTTCCGGAACAATTTCTTGCTGGACGGTGGCATTAAAAGATTACGACTCGTGGTGTCACGCATCCGAACGGCAAAGCAGCTGCTGAATCTAAGGCAACTTCTGATGGAGAGTCTGCGGCTCACTCAAGGGCAACAGCGACATTGTCGCGCTTTTTTATGAGGACCGGTGTGTTATGCTGCACCGGTGTACCGCCAACACGTTCGAATGGCGCGCTCTTCACAGAGCCAGTCTACGGGGGGGGGGGGGGGTTGACAGGTTTCCCACAGAGCTGTTGGGTAACGTCTGCAGATAATTAACGTAGCGCCCAAGAAAGGTGAGTGGGGGCATGGGCAGGACGCGTCGCTCAAAGGGACGTTAGCCGGCGGGGTGAGAATAACGAAGGCGTGGCAGCCAAAGGAGGGGAATACGTTCAAGTTGACGTCCGCCACAGGGAGACGGAGGCGTTAAGTTGCGTGCAGGTGCTCGATGGACGGTTGTATCGTGGGGCCATGAGCGATGGCTTGGGGAGGCCTTCATCCAGCAGTGCATCGATCATGGCTGATGATGATGATGATAATATAATGTAACGGGTGCAGTAAGCCGTCACGTGGATATTAAATACGCCTTGGCATGGTTTGCAAGAGTTGGGCACTGTGGGCCAATTTACCACGTTTTAAGTATTTCCATGCTCAAGTAAACATGGGCGGTGCTTGTCCTCTGCCGTCTTGAGCGAATGGTGGAATGTCCGCATTACCAGGGCAGTCGCCCAGTAGTCATGAATGTGACAACCACTGTTGACTTCCAACAAAGTGGTACTTGCTTTGTTGAGCCCGGAGCAATAAAGATGGTCAAACTGACCTGAATTTGAGCCTTAGCATCTTTAAAAGTAAGTGAACTGCTCCCCACGTAACTGAAATTGTCTCTGGTCTTTCGGTAAAGTCACGTATGATGACGTCGTAGTTTTTGTTGTTGTTTTCTTTGAACCTGTCTACGTGACTTTACCGAAAGACCCAAATAATATGAATTCCCGCAGTCACGAAAAGCTTTAAGAAAGATTTGCCTCGGATCTACTTTGCAAAAGATGTCATGAATGTCATTACAGCACATTCTTCAAAGATACTGGAGCAAATAATGAGCGTCTTGCTGGAAGCAGTATCCTACAGGGCTAGCCATCGTGCTCCTGTGCCAATGTGCGCTGTTTGTAAGCGAAAAAAGGAGCAGCGGCATTCCCAGCCGAGCCGTCTCGGCAGGACTTGACGTAAAGTCTCGAACAAACCGTGACGGAGTTGCTCCTTCATTCGCAGGTCAGCGAGTAAATCTTAAGAGGCATCCGCCGCCGCTTGAAAACTTACGCATGGAGGCGGGGGGGGGGGGGGTGGCGACGGTAATTAACAGCAGTCGCGGCCACCACGTGAAAATAAGGTGCCATTAGGAGCGTGGGGCCATATTTGTCGTCAGCTTTTCTCGTGGGTGCATGTCAGGATACGGTCGGTCCCTTAACACTTGCACATTCCTACCGTTGCTGCAAGTGTAAATGTGCAGACACATTCTCCTCTCGGTGTGTTTATACAGCTTGCGGGCCCGAAATGCACCACTGCCTCGGTGAAAACAGACTTGGAAAAATATCCCACAAGCGAATGCAGAATTGACAATCACTTGACTCATTTACCGTGAGTCAAGGCTGCGTGCGTGTGTGTGTAGTTGCATGTGTGTGTATAGGTGTGTGTGGGGAACGGTAGTCTAGCGGTTAGCGCGCTGCGCTACAAACCCGGCGACCCGAATTTGATTCCTGCTCACGGGGCAACACCAGTGACGATTTTCTGAACCGGTCCTGGGCCTCCCCGAGGTCGACTCAGTCTCAAATGAGTACCTGGTGCGGTGTGTAAACATCGCCACGAGGGAGACAAAGGCGGGCCAAGCGTTGTGTTGTGCCATGCCGGCCTTCATTGGTGCTCGCTAACAGCACTTGCCCCAATTGTCTTATTTGTCTTTGGGATCTTTGTCGTTGCACAGTGGGGGAGCGGTAACCGCGCAGTGGTTGGCACACGGCACTGATCCCGTTTGCGTTGGCAGAGAATGGTACTTGAGCCTGTCCCGTGTTTTTCAGAGGTTGACTCGGCTTTAAATAAGTAGCTGGCGCAATTGTGTAAACATCTGGGGGCTACAAAGACATCCTGGTGGTGCGGTGTTGTTTGCCACGCTACCATCGTGCGTGACACGCTTGCCTCAGGAGGTGCTCGATAACTGCACTCTCCCAAATTAGGGCTATAAGGGCAGCGTTTGCCTTTGTAAAAGTATTTCTGAACCTGGTTTGCATCTCCCTTGTTGCCAATATCAGAATCAATTCAGTGTTGTTATAGACATACTTACGCTGACCTTGATACTGCAGGTCTTCACATGGCTCTTGGCACCAACATTTTGTAAGGCTTAAGAAATGGTTCTTCACGTGTGCATATTCATACACAAATGCTGAATGCAGGGAACACGACTTCTTGATTGGCTCGCGGACATTGTACACGGGGCGGGTACAGTAATAATTTTCCCACCTCGTTGTTCAATGACTTGCCGCGGTTGTGAGTTATGAGTAGATTGAGAATGTTGTTGCTGCTGCTGCTGCCGCCATTGTGGCAAATGAGGGCGAGCAAATGTAGACCCTCTAGATCGGTGGTTCTTCTTCTTAACCTGGGGGTGCACGCATCCTCTGGGGGTGCGAGATGCCCTTTCTGGGGGGGGGTGCGAGACATGGCCACATTTTTTTAGAAGGTAAATAATCGAAACGCAAATTGTGCATGGGTACGTAGGTGCAACTACTGCGTTTCATCAAACCTATGTATTTATTAACGTAATTATATTTTTTATTGAGAACCAATGGGGGGTGCAAGGCTGCAGTAAAGATTAAGAACCACTGCTATAGGGACTCCATTGTTAATGTTAATAAATAACAGAACATGTACGAATGCACACACACATGAATCACTGCGTACATCACGAGCATTAGAATTAAATGTGTCAGTCAATAGGTGTTCTCATTCATTAATTTGCGGTTCGGAGTCCGATGTAATTGCTCCTATCGCTATGGATAGCTGCATTGATTTTTGTGAACAAAGTCCTCCCTAATATCGTAATGCAGCATTGTGAGAGATGGCAGCAGCATTCGGGAGGCTTTATCCATCCAGCAGTGGGTTGATCATGGCTGATGAGGATGATAATAGCAAGTCTCCAATTAGAAATGTACAAACTGGGTACGGTAATCACATTATTTTTTTTAGCTTTTGTTCAGGGTGCTGTATAACGAAAGACCGGTGGCGTGTTTGTGTCGAGGAGCGATTCCGCGCGCGCCTAAATCTAGTCGGAGCGACTCCGCATTACGACGCCGGTCCGTGCGTCCTAGCTCGACGCAGCAGCGCTCCGTGAAGCGGCGCGAACACGGGCGGCGGGGGAGGAGGAGGAGGAGGAGTTGGCCCCCGATTGCGCAGTCCCGCTTGGCAGACGGTTTCTGTGGCCGGATCGGGGGAAGCCAGGGGAGGGCAGTGGGGGTTGGGGTGGTGGTTCTCGTGGTCTGTACACCGCCGCCACCGCCCACCCACCACAGGAAGCGATTTGCGGCCTGTGGCCTCACCGTCAAGAGAGCGCGAGGCCGGTTGCCGTCTGGCTTTGCCCTGCGGTCTCCTGGCC